AAACTGGGGGTGGTGGGTCAGCAGGCTGCCTTCCCAGAGTGGCATTTGTGGAGGGAGGAGGCCAACAGCCCCGTCTGGGGCTCGGGGGGTGAAGGGGCCGCTCGCTGGCAGCCCCCCGGGGCAGCCGGAATGTGGGCTTGTGGAATGCGAGCGAGCGTGACCGAGCGTGTCCGGCCGAGGGCACAGGAGGTTGCGACCTTTGCCGAGCGCAGGGCCCAGCCGGACGCAGTGAGGGGCCGTCTTGTTTTGAAACCCAAAACAAGGGAAAGCTATTTGGCGGGGGGGGGGGGATCATGTGGCGTGGCGAGGCAGGGGGCGGCGGGGGGGCGAGTGGCAAGCTGCAAGAAGGCAGAGGTCTGGAGGCTGACTATCCAGCTTGGCCATTTCACATGGGGCTTTTTGAGCGGGGCCAATCCGGGAAGTTCAAGAACCGAGCCGATTACACGGCAGCCGAGGATCTGTCGCGACACCTTCTAGAACGGCTTCAAGCGCCCCGGCCTGCTTTCCGGAACGTCCCCCACGAGAAGGCAGGGTGGAGCCAGCTGGATGAGGCCGTGTGGGCCAGCTAGTCCAGCACCGCGACTCCGGCAGCGAGCAGTCCGAGGCTCCAGTTCCCAAGCGGATGGGAAGACATTTTCCGGGCCTTGTGGCTTGGTCCGTGGCCTGCAGCATCCGGGGCAAAGGGCCTCTGTCCTAGGAGCTTCCCTTCAGCTCGCATAAAAAAGGGCAGTCTCAGCCGTTCTTCATGAAATCTGCGAGTCTTCTCCGAATAGCTCAACCTCTCGCGCAGTGAATGCAGCGGCTCGCTTTCGCCCAGTGCCGGCCCGTCAGCAGCATCCTTGGCCCGATATCTGACTGCATTCGGGCGGCGAAAACATCGATTGCACTGCATCTTCCTAGCACCTTTCTGGAGCCAATCAAATTGGAGTAACGAAAAGCCGTGGCTAAGACTGCAGACAAGGCCATCAACCTCTGAGGTCCACGGGGGACCCCAAAACGGCAGAAGGATTCCCCCAAATATTTATTCAATCAAATCAAGAAAACAAGCACTCGCTCAGGTCCGCTCACGGGCAAGCATTCAGTGGGGTAAATGGAAAGCACCCGTTGTGAAAAATGCATGCCCAGTTTTGGTTTCTAAACCCAGCTGGCCAGGTCACCTCAACAGAGAGGCCTTCCCAAGCCCAGCCCAGCCCAAGGCTTATATCTGGAGCTCAGCCTCATGTCAGGGCACATCAGCTTCACCAGACGAGCAGGAGCAGGTGAGGGGCAGCGAGGGGAAGAGAAGCCCGTGGGGGCCACCCAGACAGGGAGGCCGCGGCCGTGGGCGGAAGAACCTCAAAGGATTTGCCAAAGTCTCCGTCACTCCCCTAACCCTAACCCTTTAGTAGCACAATCTCATTTCCAAAGCAGCAAAATCCAAAGAGCCCAAAGAACAAGCCAAAGGGTCCAGCGGAAGGCCACAAAAAATAATTCAGGGTTTGGAAACACTGCCCTGGGAGTCGGGACCGAGAGAACTGGAAGAATCAGCTCCAGTTGTGACAACCCAGGTTCAGGCTGGACATCAGGAAAAGCTTCCTCGCTGTCCGAGCAATATGGCAGCGGGACCAGCTGCCTGGAGAGGTGGGGGGCCCTCCCACACTGGGGACAGTCAAGGCGAAACGGGACAGGCATCTGGGTGGGATGGTGTGACAGCAGGGGCCGGACCCGATGGCCTCCCCGGCCCCTTCCAGCTCGGCTTCTCTGTGATTTGATGGTTCCCGGTAGCTCTGTGTTGCCTCCAGCCTGTTCTGGCATGGCAGGTGCTGGGGAGCATGGGTAGCATTGTGTTGGACAAGTGGCTGCCCACCGTGCAGAGGGCAGACCAGGCTAGATGGCCAGTGGGTCCAGCCCCCAGGAATCTGCTGTGTCCCGGGATCCCTGCACAGTGGGGAAGGGGGGCTGCGCCACCATCTTCACTCTCCCTGTAAATTGCAGCCGGTCACCACCCACATTTTGTCACCTTCCACCCCCCAAAAATGTGGGGGGAGAGGGAGGGAGCAGCGGAGCCCTCCCACAGTCATTGCCCGCAAGTTGCTTAACTCCTTAATGAACATTTGCCTGGACGCTGCCTGCTAACCCTCCGGTGACCCCCTCTTCCCCCCCCCCCCCCCCGTTGCGGAGCAAATACTATGCTTTCCCCAAAAAAAATAAAAAAATAAAAAAAGTGCAGAAAGCTCCCAGCCCCCGGGGTCAAGGGTGCCCCACCGCCGCTCTGATACTTTCTGGCAGGCGGTACGATTTTTGAGAACACCCTGTTAGCAGCATCGTGACCTGCCATGACCTCCCGCTCCCCAGTCCGCCGGCGGATCTTTGCCCGGGATTCTCCAGAGCTGGGTCAGCAAATGGTCAAGCAAGTTCTCCGCTCGGCCTTCTCAGCGACAGAGAACACGCTCGGTTGGACTTCCGCCTGGCCTGCTTCTCGGCCTCCGCCGTGAAGGGGAGGGACATAATGCGTGGATGCCATTAGCTTGCTCAGAGTCCCGCGCGTGGGTGCCGCCTCCTCGAACACGCACATGGGCCAGTTGCGGCCTCCCCAGAGCTGTGGGGCCGTGATCCCCATCACGCCTCCCCGTGGCGAGAGCACCTGGCGCTCTCTTTGCAGCTGCGCGGTGAGCGGAAGCACAGCCAGCGACGGGTCCGGGGAGCATGCCTGAGCAGCGCCCCTCCAAGGGTGCTGGGACATCCAGCGGAACCCGCTGCTGCTTTAACCACCCCCCGTCCCCCTTTTGGCCTTTGGGCCCCCCCGCCCCCAGAAAGCAGCCCATGAGGAGGCTCCAGGGGCCAAGAGCGGCTCGGCACACCATTACGTAGGACCGAGCCCAAGAAGGAAGCTGCAGCCGGGTGGCCCACCGCCCACATTCATTGCGCCCCTTGGCAAGCCCCTCCCCATGCAGCCTGGCAGCCTGGGGTGCCAGGAGGAGGCAGGGAGAGTCCTGCCCATGTTTGCCCCCCCCCCAGCAACACGCCCCAAAGGGGCACGGCCCTCTTCATCTGAGGGCTTCTTGCAGCTGGCCAAGGGACCCCACGAGGAGCAGCCGGTTGTCTCTCCGGAGCAGGGGGGTGACGGGTACCCTCCCAAGGGTCTCACTGGACCCGCAGCCGTGGTTTGGCAGGGCTTTGGCAGGAGGCCCCAGCCTGCGGCAGACCCCCCGGTAAAGCAGCGCCCAGCTCCCAGGTGCCACTCCACGCTGCGCAAGGCAGCCGTGGGGCGAGGGGGCTGTGGGCTGACGGCCCCTCCCCTCCACTGGGTGCAGCCACGGCATGGGCGCTCCTGCTCACAAGCCACGAGGCATTCCACGGGGGACATCTTGGCAATCCTCGCTTCACCTGGGTCTGCGCCTCCCGGGTGCTGGCTGGGGGCGTCCCTTCCTTTGATGGGGGCTCCGTGGCGCTGCTGGTGGGACGCGGGTTTGTCCAGGTGCGGCCTGCTAAGCCTCCCTGTCTCCCCCCACCCCCAAGCCGCTGGACGGTCCTCCACTGATCTCTTCTCCATCAACGGGATTTGACTCCCGCTGCCCCTATGGCTCCCCTCGGCACATGCAAATTCGCCATCCTGAGGGGGGCGCCCTTGAGCACGGGCACCGCACCCCGCTTCATAGCTGCCCCCCCCCGCCACGTGGAATTGGGGGCAAGTGACAAGGCCTTATGAACTCCTGGCGATCCATTTCCCTTCCCTGTCTGTCTGCTGGATTGTCCCTGGGGCTGGACAAGAGGCAATGTCCTGGCGGATGTCAGTGGCCCACCCAGTCCAGGAAACCTCGTCTTCTAGGCCCAAACAAATGCACTGCAACAGGCTTTTGTAATGTGGAGCCACAGTCCCCATCATCCCCAGCCCACATGGTCACTGTCTGGCTAGGACTGATGGGAGTGGAAATCCAACACACTGGGAGAGCAGCCAGCCGGGAAAACTGCTTTATGCAATAGCAGCCTCAGGAGGAGAGGTTGCTCCCCAAGAAGCTGCATGCAAGCCTGGTCTGCCATTTGCATCTGAATTGCGTGCTACCCAGCTGGACCCAGAGACAAATTCAGCCCTGGATGCAGAGTGTTCCATCACCTCTAGAAAAAGGAAGAAATACACGACTTTCTTTTTCAAAGAAAGCGGGGTGGGGGTGGGGGTATATCGATAAATTAATGGACAAGTTTGCCACCTCATGGACAAATCTAAAACTGCAGCCTGTTCGAAACGTCCCGCTGTGCTCCCTTGTTCATTGATCCCGGACTGTTCCAATTGTTCCAATTTTCTGGAGCATTCCAAATATTTCAATGCCCTTGCACGCATGCAAATATACAGGGATTCACTGCCGAGCCGCTCATTTTTTCAGGCGCTTTAGAATTCAAGGGGGAGGGAGGGAGCGAAGAAAGCCCTTAGACGATAAATGAAACGAAACGAAATGAAATGAAGTGGGGCAGGGCCTCAGCCCCCCAGGAATTACAGCTCGCATTTCTAGAGCAGGACGAAGAGCGCAAAGGCAACGCAGAGATGTCGAAGAGTTCCTAAATAAACACGTGTAGAGCCACGACCTCCGCCATATCGGTCGGGCTACAACTCCCACGCGGCTGAGGAGCATGGGCGTCGCAGTAGCCCACCGCATACGGGCCGGCCGGCTGGCTGGCTGGCTGGGGGCGAGGGCTACCTCGCGCCTCGACGCCCCGCAGGGCGAGCCCAGCGGAACTGGACCAGCACCAGCTCAAGCGGGCCCGTTCCGCATGTCAGCCCACGGAACTCGGCCGGGGCGGCGCACGGGATCGCGCCGCGACCGCCCAGGAGCCGCCGCCCGCCAGGGCGGATGCGCCCGCTGCAGCCACGGGGCCGGGGGACCCCTTCGGAACCCGCACGTGAAGACGGCAAGGGGCTCCGATTCCCAGGGTGGCCGAGCGCGAGGAATGGGGGGAGGCTAGAAAGCCCCAGAGCCTGCCGGGAAATGTGGTCCTGCGGAGGCTCCCCTTGCAGGGAGAGAACCACATTTCCCAGAATCCACGTCGAGGCAAAGGGAGCGGAGAGATTGCAAGGTCAGCCGCGCAGGAGGAAGCGCATTTCGGGGCGCTGCCTTGAAGGACAGGTGGGCTGTGTCGTGTGGACGTGGAGGGACTCGCGGGCTCTCCGGGGCTGTGCTCATGCTGGGGTGGGTGGAACGCGTGAAATCGGAATCACTTCCCTTCGTGTAACAGCTCTGGCGTCGCTTTGCACGCCTGCCCAAGGATCGTGCGCTAGCCAGCTCCTCCTTCGGAAAGGGACGCCTTTGTGGCTTGCGCGCCCGCAAGAACGCCCCCCCCCCCCGCCTCGCATCTGGGCTGCGGGTGCGCCCCTTGCCCCGTCTGGCAGCCCTGCCGAAATCGGGGCTCGCCTCGTCAGTTCTTCTGCCTCGGAAACGGACCTTTTCAGCCTCTCTTGCAGATGCGGCTAGGCGAGCTGAGGAGCAGCACTCTGCTCGTGCTCAGAGGGGCTGGCGCCAGGGAGAGCGGCCCTAGGGCCTTTGCAGCCCCCCCCCCCCGTTCAAGGGCGCTCGCGTCCTTCGGCAGCCCCCCCATCCGCCCCCCAACCCTTTGGAGGCGGAGGTAGACGCGCAGGCGCAGTGACACTGTACTCTTCCTCCCCGCAGCCCCGCCGTGCCCGATGCTGCCCTCCCGCCTGCTGTTCCTCCGCCGGCCGCCCCTGCCCCTCTCCGCCGCCCTCTCGACGGCCGGCGGCGGCGGTGGCTCGCCCATGGAGAAGCCCGTGGAGGCCTGCATCCGGGCCAAGCTGCAGCAGGCCCTGGAGCCCGTGCACCTGGAGATCATCGACGACAGCCACATGCACGCCGTGCCCCGCGGCGCCGAGACCCACTTCCGCGTGGTGGTGGCCAGCCGGCGGTTCGAGGGCCTCTCGCTCATCCACCGCCACCGGCTGGTGAACGACATCCTTCAGGAGGAGCTGTCGGGCCCCGTCCACGCACTCTCCATCCAGGCCAAGACGCCGCAGCAGTGGGAGAAGAACCCCAAGATCATCCAGAGCCCCGCATGCCTCGGGGGATCCAAGCATGACCCGCACGGGGCAGGCAAAGTGGGGAACGCAGGATTGGTGTGAGCCCGGCTGAAGCAGGGCGCTTGGGAGGCCTCCTCCGGAGGGGAGGCGCGGTGCTGGGAGCCAAAATACATGCCTTGCTCCATTTCCCCTCGGTGCGGCCGCGTCCTGGCTGTGTGTCAGAGCCGCTCTCCGCGCACGGGGCCGCCTTCAGTGCATCCTGAGATTCGGGCTGCTCGATTTTCCCAAGTCTTCTGTCCCTGCAGCAAGGTCAAGACTTGGGCATTGGGAGGACGGTTCGCTCTGCCTTTTACTGAAGCACATTAAATGTCTCAGCCTTGTTCATGGTGCTGTGTCAGTTCTGTTCTGCAGGGAGGGAGGCGGGACTGTGGCCAGGTTCTAGGCCAGGCTGTGGGTCAGTGGCCCCCTTGGCCCACCTCCGAGCCCTGGAGGCGTCTCTCATGGAGAAGGAGCTGGGCCGGAATTCGGACGGCAGCCAAGCATTCCTGGCCAGGTAGAAGAGCTGGCACGGCTCACTGACACTCACCTTTGCCGAGTGCCCAGGCGACCGCAGGCTGCAATGCATCCTGTGAGACCTTCCGTTCACCATGCACAGAGCTGTCCCCAGAACTTTGTCCAGTCACAAAGTTATGCCCAACCCATCACGACCCCACGGACAACATTCCTCCAGGCCTTCCTGTCCTCCACTATCCCCAGAGTCCACCCAAGCCCACACCCACTGCCCCAGTGGCCCCATCCAGACACCTCATCCTCTGCCGTCCCCTTCTTCTTTTGCCATCAATCATTCCCAGCATCAGGCTCTTCTCCAGGGAGTCCTTCCTTCTCATTAGGTGGTCAAAGTACTTGAGTTTCATCTTCAGGATCTGGCCTTCTAAGGAGCAGTCAGGGTTGATCTCCTCTAGGACTGACCGGTTTGATTGCCTTGCGGTCCAAGGGACTCGCAGGAGTCTCCTCCAGCACCACAATTCAAAGGCCTCAATCCTTTGGCCCTCAGCCTTCCTTATGGTCCAGCTTTCACAGCCATACACTGCAACTGGGAAAACCATAGCCTTGACTATACGCACTTTTGTCGGCAGGGTAATCTCTCTGCTTTTTTGTATGCTGTCTAGATTTGCCATAGCTTTCCTCTCAAGGAATTTTAATTTCTTGGCTGCAGTCACCGTCTGCGGTGATCTTGGAGCCCAGGAAAATGTCACTTCCTCCATTTCTTCCCCCTCTATTTGCCAGGAAGTGAGAGGACCGGATGCCATGATCTTATTTTTCTTAATGTTGCATTTCATTATCATACGGGCTTCCCCCAGTTCTGCTAGCTGTTTTAGCCCCCCCCCCCTCCGCATCAGGTTTGGTAGCTTTTTAGTTGGTGCAGGGCAGAAGGAAAAGTTCAACAGGTGGAGCTGCCCTGGGCACCAAGATACCCCAGGGCAGTTGCACCTGTGGAATTCCCACCACAGGTGGGCAAAGAAACCCCATCTTGGTGCTTGCTTGGTAGACCCCATGAGGCCAGAGGTGGGAGGGGGTGTTGCCTGGGCCTCCAGTGCCACCCCCTTCCTGAGTAGTTGGAGTGTCTGTGGGCATTCAGCAGCAGCCGCAGCCGCCAAGCGAATGCCCAGGCTCAGTTTCGCTGACTGAGCCAGTGCACTCAAGAGCCAGGCGCGGCGGCGTTTTCAAGCCCGCAGCCTGCGGTCACTTGGGAGCAGCTGGGGGTTTCTTCTTTTGGCTTATTTTTGAGTTTCAGCTTTTTAGCTGACATCTCAGACTTGTACCACTGCGGATCAAGCATCAGGGATCTTGCAGAGATCTGTCGATTGCATGGATTCATGAAGGGAAAATTAATACATAGGTAACACAACTTTTTTCGAACCGGAAATTCAGAGAGAGAGCAGTTCCACGGAACACAGCGTGTGTGTTTTTAAACTACCCGATGCAAACATGGTTCAAAGATAGTTTTCAAACTTTTTTAATTTTTTTATTTTTACATTGACTTTTGTTGGCTATGCGTTCATAATGCCCGGGGGAAAGAGACTGTGCGTGGCCAGAACCAGACTTCAGTGTTTTCCTTTTCCTGCTTAAATGCACACACAACCCGCCTTTTTACACATTAGAATATCATCATCATTCACAGCACCTTTGCGTCTCCCCCATTTCTCTTTTCTCAACATGACATTTAAAGTAACTCCTATCCCATCAGCATTCTTGGCTTCTGTTTTATACAAAATGAAACAAACCGGAGACCACAACTGAAGTTACACTTTTTTTGTCCTGATTTTTTTTTTCAATTGTTCTTTACAAACATCTAAAAACTACTGCACAGCACAAGGTTTGCTTTGTTTCTTTGTTTGCATACAGACGGTACTTATGTATGATTTGTATGTTGGCTTTGTTTAGAAGAACAGCTACACCGTAAAGGAGGGTAAGGGACCAAAGTCAGAAAGGGAAACATTTTGGGAAGGGGCCAAGAGCCGGGGGGCTGGGGGGGGGGTTCCGACTGCATCGGACTTGGGTACGTTCAACTGGATGCGGATCTGTTTTCTTTCCAAGAAGGTGGCATAAAGAGCACTTTCCATTCAAGAGGCATCAAGATTTGGAAGCGGGTAAATAACACCCCGTTCTCAGCCTAGAGCATGTAAGCAGAGCCCCTCTGGGTCAGGGGAACGTGAACCCAACCTAGACAAACATCTCGGCTTTCCCAGTGGCTGCCCAAAAGCCCCGTTATTTATCGGAAAGAAAAATGCGCAGGGACTGTGGGAACCGCGTGCCCTGTGCTTTGAGGCCTTCCCACTGCAACAGAAACGGACAGACTTCTGGCTGTGCAGGGCATGAAAGCGGATCCTGGGACACAGCTTGCCAGAGGGAAGGCTACACCGCTCGAGGCCCAAGGGCTCCTGCCCTGCGGCTTTTTAGGCTGAGAGGAATCACATGCACTCTAAAAAAGTTTGGTCCAAGATACTCGATGATGCCTTCCGCCAGCACCCATGTCTGCGCCCAGGTCCCATCAGGGATTCATCGCTTCTTGGCAGGCTGGAGCAAACCTGAAGGACTTCCCTCTCTCGCGGCTCAAAATCCCCATGAAAAGACCCACATCTGGCCTGCAGCGCTTCCTTTTCTTTCGTACAGGCAAAAGTTCGGCTTGCGGATTTTGGCAGAAAAGGGTGGCTTCCTGGCGGCCAGGTCCCAGGGTCTCTGGGTATAGGGCGAGGGCAGTCTTTGCTACTCCCTGCCACGGGGGCATTTTGTGCTGCCACCAACCCTGACGGGGCGCAGCATTGCTCGGGGGCGCCAGGAACCGACGGGGCCACACCCAGGCCTAGGAAGGGCTCAGCACCGGGCCAGGTCCTTCCTTCTAAGCAAGGTGCATGGGAGGAGCTGCTGGTGGGGGGTTTATCCAGATCCAACTGCCACTCCAACCCCCAGGAAGCTGGCTGTGACCCCCATCAAGGAAGGGCAGTGAGCCCTGCACGAAACCTTCCATCCAGGAGAGGAGCAGAGGAGAGGAGAGCAGTCCTGCAGGTTCTGATGAAGGTCCTTCTTTGCCCACAGCTTGCCGCAGGAGCCCCCAGGGAGCTTGGAGGCAACGGGCTGATGCCTGTCCCACAGGGCGGGTGTCACAAGGCAGGAGGTCTCTGAACCGAAGGAGAGCCCAGCCCCGGCAGCAGTCGGCCTTCTGCTCGTTCTGCCCCACCCCTTTTGCCTCTGGCCCCTCCCCTCGCATTCTGCTCTGCCCACCACCGGCCTGCACCTGCCACGAGCTTCTCTCCGGGTCGCGGTGAATTCCGTAGCAGGTGGAGGGGCTTCTCCAACTACCAGAGCCTTTGCATGTGTGGGACCGTGGCGTCTCCCCTTCTCCCGAGCCAGCAGGGCTAGTCTGTGGGGCTGGCGGGGTTTGGCTGCAGCTCCTGGGACCAGCAGAGGTCGGGGAGTCATGCTCTGGTCGAGCGAGATGTGCTTGCTTGAGGGTCCCCAAGGCTGCGCGATCCCCATTTTGGTCCCAAAGTATGAAATCAGTGTGGCCCTTCTTCAGGTGCCTCTTCCGTCTCCTAACAAGGAAATGCTCTCTGTCCGGAAGTTTCCTAGGCTGCCGTCTTGGCACTTGCGAGAAATTCCCAGCTGGGTATTGTGCTACTTACGGTATTTTTGCAAGTTTCTGGGAAGCGGGCTCTGTCGCCTCCGGTCCCTGTGCCCAGGTGATAGGCAGGTGTTGCCACAGCCAGGTGCGTCGATCCGGGCATAGTGGAAGCCAGCCTCCCCCGGACTGGTGCCGAAGATGTTTCAAAGCACAGCCGACAGCAACTGCAGCCGGCAGCGCTCTTGGCCGGGGCGGAGGGAGCTGCTCTCCAAAACAGCTGGGATGGGGAGCATGAAACTAAGTTTATCCCTGCCTGAGCTGCTGCCGGCCCGTGCAGGAACTGCTGGGCCAAAATGGGACCCGGCAGCCCAACCAGGTGGCAAATTCATGGTTCTGCCTGCATGTGCTCTCGCCTGTGCGCCCCGAGGCTCGGGCCAGGAAAAGGTCAGTTCTTAGGTTACTTCTGCCTCCAGAATGCCAACCCGAGAGAACAGATCCACTGCCAGCAAAGGACACAGAGGTACCATGAAAGTCTGGGGGCGGGCAGACACACTGAGGTGCCCACCGCTGCTCATGCCACCAGGAGCGTGAGGCTCCCTCGCCCGGCGCCCGCACGAGCAGCTGAGCCGCCTCCTCAGTGGGACATCCCACCGGAAACCTGAAATGTCAAGCGAACAAAGCCACACCCACAAACGGACACGGACGTCGGGGCACAGGGGTTGTGCACGTACAGCGGGCGGGCGGACACCCGTTTGCGTGGATCCATACAGACATGGCAGGGACACCAAAGCGTGCCTTGGGGAACCCGGAGAATGAACCCCAGAGGAAGGCAGGGCTGCAGTGTGGAGCGGCGGAACATCCAAGGACGGCGGACTCTTACAAGCTTACACGTTGGTGGGAAACGACAGGACGCGTCCGCTACCGGGTGCTGGGGGACCAGCTGGGGCTGGCGATGGGGGTCACGCCCGGCAGTGCCAGGGGGTTCACCCTCTGTATTCACCTGGTGCAGAGGGAGACACCACGGCCCCCGCCGTCTCCTCGGTTTCCCCTGCCTCCACCGGGGCGTGGATTCACATGTACCTGGGGGGGATGGTGGGAGGCCAGCCGGCGGGAGGCGTTTCCGAGAGCGAGTGAGCGTGTGGAAGAAAATCCATCGGGAGGTGGATCTCTGGCTGAAATGGGACGACAAGACGGTCACAGTGCCTACGACGCTAAACTCTCCCCCACGTGGGTCAGGGCGGGGCGGCGGGGCCGGGGCGGCGCTCTCACTGTAGAACCTGCCCCCGCGTCTCCGGCAGTTTCAGGGCCAGCGAGCTGCCCACGGCCAGGGCCGCCGAGGCCAGCAGGATGGGCACGGCCTTCGTGATGCCCACGAACGACGTGAAGATGCTGATGCCCAGCACGGCCGCCAGCTTGCACAGGGCGTTGAGGAAGCCGAAGGCGGTCGTCCTGCGGCGGGAACGGGAGGAGAGGGAAGGGGAAGGGGAACTCGCAATGAAACGCCCGGAGTCGAGAGGCTCGCGCTGGCATCGTCAGCACCGTACTCTGCTCTGCTTGCCCCCATCCGCATGCAAGAGCACAACCACCGGCCGGGTCGGAGGGGGCGACGCCGCAAAGACCACGAGCTGCGGGGTGGGGAGCAGACGGATGGACCCCCCAGCCCAGCCCACCGGGGCCAAGTGCGTTCAGCAGCTGCCACGTGCTGAGGGACGCTCGGGGTGGGACGGAGGAAGCGGGCGGAAGGCCGGCTGCGGCGTGGACCCCGGCCAGTCCGTGGTGCAGCTGGGCTGCATGTGGCCGGGCGCACGTGCGCTGCCCGGGGAAGGTCTGAGGTGCTGCCCGGCTGCCACGCCAGGTACGGCTCGGAAAGGGTCCTGCCTGTACCCCGGGGAGGGGCAGGGGCCCGTCGTGCTGACAAGCCTGGGAGAGGCAGGCACGGGGCCCGGCCCAGCAGGGCCTCGGAAAGAGGCCCAGAAAAGCCCCAAAGTCCATGTAGTCCAGCACTTGTCCTGGGGGCCAGATGGGTGAGCACAGGGGCCCTTGCCACACTCCTCCTCCACTGGCGCTCTGGGGTCTGGCCACCAGACACCGGGGTGTCCCCCCCCACCACCTCCAGGCGCCCACAGGTGCTGAGCATTTGGAGAACAGCCTCCGCCAGGAGCCTCGACGGCAGCAGGCCCGGGACAGGCTCACCCGGTTGGGCGGAGGCCTCAACGCGACGAGGACACGGTGGCCCTTCGGGAAGGGGGGGGGGTTGGCTGCCTACCTCCTGTCCGAGGGGTACAGCTCCACCGTGAGCACGTCCAGGGCGTTCCAGGAGGCGATGCTGACCCCTCCGAAGAGGCAGAGGAGGGCGATCATGGCTGACTCGCTGTTGCCAAAGGACAGGAAGAAGCAGCTGATGCAGGACATGACGCTGGACCCGGCTGCTCAGGCGAGGGCGGCCAGCAGAGGAAAGGGACAAGAGAAAGGCATCACCGCCAGGGTCGCCGCAGCCCAGGGCAGGAGCGTGACAGCCGCCAGTGCCCCTCGGGTGCAAAGCACCGACCTCTGGAGACTCCATTGGCTACTTTGAACATATGCAGATAAAGCAGGTTTCTAGACCGCATGGTGAGGAAGATGGGGGCGCCCAGCAAGGGCTCAGAACACGGAGCTCGTGCCAAAGACTTTTGCACCCACTAAGAGGACGTGTTCCTGCAATGGCGCGAAGCGTTTAGCAGCATGATTTTACTGTGAACGTGTGTGTGTGTGTGTGTGTGTGTGTGTGTGATGTGCCGGCCTTCCCCAACGTGGCGCTTTGCCTGAGTTGGACCACAAACCCATCCCCTTCCAGCCCACCCACACGCATTTTCGCACAACACGGGTCCCTGAGCAAACTGAGAGAGATTGCCCCCGCCACCCTCTGCAGCCCCCCGCAGAGGCCTGCGTGCCCGCCCTCACCCAGCATCCGCAGGCGCCCGATCTTGTCCATCAGCAGGGCGGAGACGATGTTGCCCGGCAGCACCGCCAGCGTGCCCAGGAAGCTGACGAAGTAGATCATATAGGCGTTGTTGTCGTCGCTGAAGTCCAGCTGGCAGCCCTCCTTGTTATGCAGGAAGGTGCTGTTGATGAACTGGCTGTTGAGGAACTTGTACTTGAAGAGGTCTGCGGGCCAAAGGACCGGGCCGTCAGGGCACTCGGGGGCCGGCCCCCAGGCGGGGGGCAGACCAGGCGCAGCCAGGCCCCGCGAGACGGGCCCCCGCAGCCTCCCTGAGCGGCCCCGGCCACCTCGCCTTGCTGCCGGCTCGCACGCGCCCTCGCGGGAGGCCGGCCTTCCCTCTTCGGCCAGGCGCGCTCCCTCCTCGGCACCTGCCGAGGCCCAGGCCACCCCCGAGGACTGCACCCTCCCCCAGGGGTGGCCGGCCCTGGGCTCCTGCTCTTCCCAAATGTGGAGGTGCTGCTCCCAAGCAGGGCTGCTGACAGGAAGAGCTCGGGGAAACCGAGGCCTCCCCTGCCCTTGGACCGTGAGGGCCCTCCAAATCCGAGTCGGCCCTCGGGCGAGGGAGACCCGAGACCCCGGCCAGGGGCCCTGTGGGGGCGGGCAAACCCCAGCGCCCACGGCCTCTGCTGTTGGCCATGCCGGACGGGGCTGCTGGAAGTGGGCAGCCCACAAACATCTGGAGAGCTGCCGGCTCCGCTGCTCTGGAAGGAAGATCTTCATGGAGCATGTGGAGCAGTGGAGGAGCAGGGGGCTCGACTCCAAGGTCCTGCAAGCCCCCCGCTGGGACAGGGAATTCTGGGTAGGGACGCGCTCCAACGGAGCCAAGCTCAGGGAACCCAGGTTCCATCTGGATGCCAGGAAGCACTTCCGGACAGTCAGGACCCCGAGGGTGTGGAATGGGCTCCCACGGGAGGTGGCTGAGGCCCCATTGGTGTGGGTGTTCAAGGACAGGCTGGACGTGCACATGGTGGGCACGTCGTGAGCGGAGCCGGCTGGAGCCGGGGGTCAGACTAGATGGCCCGGGAGACTGACTTGCTCTGCTTCTACGTCTCTATGCTCCCAGCTTTCCCCTTGGGCCACAAAACAGCCTTCCTTTCTTTAGCAATTTGCTTGGCTTTCTTGCAAGACCGCTGCAAGATGAGACAGCCTGAAGTGGGTGAATGCAAGGGAGGGACTGACCCTGCCTTCAAAGGCCGAGGGGCTGCTCTGGCTTCCGGACGGGCCTGAGCCCCAAATGGTGCTCTGTTCCGCAGGCCGCCAAAGCCTTAGCGGGGTGCGGCTGCTGTGTGGAAGCTACGGGGGCCCCTCGCCTTGCAGGCTGGGAGCCCAAGGTGCAAGCAGCCCGGCTCCTTCGGCTTGCCGCCCTGCTCTTTGCGAGGGCCGAGCAGCCCCACCAGCGGCCTCGGGGGACGCAGGCGCACGTCACCTGTGTTGTAGAAGACGGAGGAGATGAACGTGCAGTTCTTGAAGAAAGTGTCGCTCGAGGTGACATCCTCGAAGTAGCACTCCTCGAACAGGGAGTTCACGAAGGAGACGGACTTCATCTTCAGGCCGATGAACCTGGCGAGGGAGAGGCAGGGTGGCTGGATCCGTCGCCGGGGGCCAGCGGCATGCCCGCCTGCAAGCGGGGGCTGCAGCCCGGCCGGCAGGTGCGGCCGAGGAAACCTTCCCTCCCGGGGAGCCAGCCCGCCAGCCCGCCCCACGAGGGGTCCGCGGCAGGGGGCACCTACTTGTCGTTGAAGTACTCCCCGTGGTTGTGGACCTGGTTCTCCAGGGTGAAGTTGAAGGTGATGTGGCGCACATGCTCGTTCTGGAAGACCTTCGTGCGGGAGGCGTACTCCGTGCTCTGCAGGTGCTTGATCATGTCTGGGAACCAGACTGTCAGCCCGTAGTAGCTGGATCCAGGCAGCAAGGAGGGGAGCGAGGCGGAGGGCGGGTGGCAAGGAGGGAGGCCGAGGAGCCGAGGAAAGGAAGCCGAACAAACCCACAAGCGGAGGGAGGGGAAGGGAGGGGCAGAGGAGCAAATCAGTCTTCGGATGCTGAGGCACAACCCAAGCTTTACCATTGATTAGATGATATATGGTACATTGGTATACAACGGGTGGTAAATTGATTCCCTATTCTTTGGGGATCCCATGACAGGCCAAAGTTGGACAGAAATAAATACAGAGAGACAGCCCGGAGTGCTGTGCCCAACAGGAGCAGGCTGGCATGTCTCTGGTGTGCTGTGCATCGCATGCCTCCAGGGAGTGACTTTCAGTGGTAGGCTACTCCCAGCCATGGAGGTTCTATTCCCAGTTTCAATCCCAGCTCATGCAAGAGTTGCACGTGCCCTCTTGGTGGGCTCAGGAGGATTGGGAGGTGCAGCATTTGCTCCAGGCTGCAGGCCCTCCTACGTGACCGCTGCTCTCGCTGCCGAGAGGCACATGCGGAAAACGGGGCTGCGTCAGGGAGGAGCGTTCCAGCTGGCCCTTCCCTGGGTGAAAGGAGCATTCCTTTTGATGGGGGTGTCCTATTCCACAAGTCGGCACCTGCAGGGAGAATGGTTTGGTCCAGCAAAAGCATCACTGCTCGGCTATGCAGTTGTGCCCACCGAGTGGAAAGGAAATCTACTCTGCACAAGCTCAGAGGCATACTTTGCCAGTCCCTTTGTACGGCCCCAGGCTGGCTTGGTGGAGTGAGAACCCAGTGCCCTCCGTGAGGGAAACAGTCTGCACGAATCAGGCCGGATCATAGAGCTGCTTGCTGCAATTTTTTCCTGACAGGTTCAATTAACAGAACCGCCAGGAGATCAGCCGCAGGACAGGGGTCCCAACAACAGCTTCTGACATCAGGAAATTTTTGTCCGGCCCCCAAATTATATCTCGGTGGCTAGTAAGCTTCAAAAAGAATGGAAAAATATTAAAATTGGGCCTTAGATCACCACGCAAATTGGCAGTCTTTGATTCTTGCTGCACTACAGACCTTGCAGCATGAATTACATATCATCTCGATTTTTAATTGCTGCAGCAGATGGAAACTCACCTGCAAATGAGCTCACAGACAGCTTTGCAAAAGGGGGGGGGGTTTCCTCTGGAAAGGGAGGGGAGGTATTGGCCAGTCCCGGGTTCTGAAGACCTCCTGGGGCAGCCCTGCCGTGGGGCGGCTTGTGGGGTGCCAGCGGGGGGCCTCTTTGCTCTCAGGCGACGGACCTGCCTCCCGGGGAGGCTGTGGGGGCGCCCCCTCTGCTGCCCTCTCCCTGGCAGCCAGCGACCCGCTTGTTCGGACCCCATCGCTCGCGCCCCTGGAAGCACCCTTCCTGGAGCACTGCGGCTGGGGATGGAGCTGGCGCCCAGCCGCCGATGGCCGGGGGACCCACCTGAAGGACATGGTGAACCAGACGGCCATCATCATCAGCGTCACCCGGCGATATTCAGGAGCAAAGCACTGGTGGAAATTCGCCCCGACCTGCGAAGGGCAAGAGAAGCACAAGCCACGCTGACCCTTCTGGGGGGTGAGGCGCAGGATGGCTGTGTGCGGTCGTGCAGACGGGCGCTTTGGGCCCTGCCTGCCGATTCGGGAGCCACGGAATGCCCACAAACATTCCGGCTGCTCAGGGCCGAAGGGGCCGCGACGGCGTGCGGGCAGCCCTGCAGCTCCTGGGAGTGGAAGGGAGGCCGGCGGGGCGTGTGCCTCCCTGGGTCCGCCAGCTCTTGCTGCCCACCTGCTGCGTAAGGTTCAGGAAGCGGACCATCCAGCGCCGGTACCAGGTGCCTGTATCAGACTGGATCTCGACCAGTTCATCCTCCTGTTTGATCGTCTTAATATGGGTCACCTGCAGGATGACAGGTAAAAGGGACGCGTGGCGGACAAGCACCTCCTTGTTGGTCTTCGGCATCCGTATCACGCCTTTCACCAAGGAGTTCAAACCTCCTAAGGGATTTCCCACATGCCCCCTTGGTCCGCAAACCAGCCCTTTGAGGTAGGGCAGGCTGGGGGATCACAACAGGCTCAAGGGCTCCTGTCATCGGGTTCAGGCCCATGTGCCACCGACCCACGTGGGCTGTTTTCCCACCGATAGATCTTTTGAGATCAGGGGACTGGGGACGGGCAGCAGGTTGAGCACTAGAAGCTGGGCCTTCAAGAGGGCCAACTTTGGCCAACTGAAGGCCAGACTGGGGAAAGACTCCTGGGATAGGTTACTGGAAGGTAAGCAAGTTGAGGAGGGGTGGAGGGCACTCAAAAGGGAGGTTTTGGAGGCGCAAGCCTCGACGATACCTCTAGTCAGTAAGGTGGGGAGGCGGAGGAGAGGGCTGCCATGGATGCGAAAGGAGGTGGTTAGAGGGGTTAGACGAAAGAGGAACCTCCATAGGAAATGGGTACTGGGGGAAATAGACAAAAGGGTATACCGGGAGGAGGAGGCCCGTTGCAGAAGAATTTTTTGCAAGGCGAAGGCTGAGTACGAGCTGAGACTTGCCAAGAATATCAAGAGCAACAGAAAGGGCTTCTTTCAGCATGTAAATAGGAAGAGGAAGGGGAGACAAGTGGTGGGACCACTAAATAAGGAGGAAGGGGATCCAGTGACTGGTATGAGGGAACAGGCACAGACGCTAAATGACTATTTTGCCTCTGTGTTCTCCCCAAAGCAGGACGGGGGAGATTCGCACAGGAGATTAGATGAGGCTGGGGACTTAGGGGCACAGATTAGAGTCACCCCCCCCTTGAAGTCGAGGGGCTCCTCAGGGCATTGGACGTTACAAAGGCACCAGGCCCTGACGGGTTACACCTGAGAGTACTTAGAGAGTTGGCCGGGGTTCTCTCACGCCCACTGGCCTCCATTTTTGAGACCTCGTGGAGAACGGGTGAAGTTCCAGAGGACTGGAGGGTGGCATCAGTGGTCCCAATTTTCAAAACGGGTAGTAGAAAGGGACATAGGGAATTATAGACCGGTTAGCCTTACGTCCATTGTAGGAAAAACAAAGGAAAGTCTCATAATAGAGAGAGATCTAGTGAAGCTAGATAGGGAAGGGAGGCTGGCAGCCACTCAACACGGCTTCTGCAAAAACAGATCCTGCCAGACAAACCTTGTGGAATTCTATGACAAGGTTTCGAGGTGGCTGGATGGAGGGGATGCAGTGGATGTGGTATACCTGGATTTCAGCAAGGCCTTTGACAAAGTGCCCCATGATATCCTGGTGGAGAAACTGAGGAGTTTTGGGATACACCAAAGCACTGTCTGGTGGATTAGGGCATGGTTGACTGACCGAAAGCAGAAGGTAACCATTAGCGGGGAATCATCGGGATGGCGGCCAGTGACAAGCGGGGTCCCCCAGGGCTCTGTCCTGGGGCCGATCCTGTTTAATCTTTTCATTAACGACATGGAAGAAGGGGTGAACAGTCTGCTGATCAAATTCGCAGACGACACTAAAACTGGAGCAGTGGCTGCAACTGAGGAGCAGGTACTCCAGATCCAAAAGGATCTGGACGGACTATGGAAGTGGGCAGGAGACAACAGGATGGCGTTCAATGTGGATAAGTGCAAGGTCTTGCACTTGGGGCATAGGAATGGGTGTCATAAGTACAGGATAGGGGACAAGTGGCTGGAGAGCAGCGCTTGTGAAAGGGACCTCGGGGTGCTGGTTGACTGTAGGCTGAACATGAGTCAGCCGTGTGATGCGGTGGTCAAGAGGGCGAACGCCACCCTTGGTTGCACAGCCAGAAGTGTGGCTTCTAGATCAAGAGAGGTATTACTACCACTCTGTATGACTCTGGTGCGCCCACAACTGGAGTATTGTGCTCAGTTTTGGGCCCCTCGTTACAGGAAGGATATAGCCAGGTTGGAGTCAGTGCAGCGTAGGGCCACAAGGTTGGTGGCCGGTTTGCAGGGGATGCCGTATGAGGCAAGACTGAGGGAACTGGGCCTTTTCAGCCTGGAGAAGAGGAGACTCAGAGGGGATCTGTTGGCAACATGCAGGTATGTGAGGGGGTGTCACATGGAGGTGGGGAGAGACCTCTTCTCCCCTGCAGAGGAAGGCAGGACGCGCTCCAACGGAGCAAAGCTCAGGGAGCCAAGGTTCCGTTTGGATGCCAGGAAGCACTTCCTGACAGTCAGGACCCCGAGGGTGTGGAATGGGCTTCCCCGGGAGGTCGTTGGGGCCCCATCGGTGCGGGTGTTCAAGGACAGGCTGGACATGAACATGGTGGGCTTGTCGTGAGCGGAGCCGGCTGGAGCCGGGGGTCAGACTAGATGGCCCAGGAGATCCCTTCTGACTCGCTCTGTTTCTATGTTTCTATGTTTACCCGAACTGCAGAAGCCCTCTTGGCAGATTCGACTTCCTTCTAACGGGGAAGCGCAGGAAGGCGCCCCAGTGACCAGCTTCCGAGAGCGCTGGGAATAGCGGGGTGCTCCCATCGCGCGTGAGGCACGCCGCAGAGTGCAGTGCGAGCGGGAGGAGGTGCACCTACCGAGAAGACCCGTTCGGGGTGGCCCTTGGCCCGCATGTTGGTGTCATGGACCTGCTTCAGCACCATCCAGGCCTCGTCGTGCTTCCCGTTCTGCCAAGGTAAAGTCCAGGTGGTTTCAGCCAGAGCGGGAATGTTGCAGGAGGTGGCACCAGACCAGCCCCCTGCTCGGCGGCTGCCGGGGCCGCGGGGACCGGCCCGAGCACGGCTCCTGGCCATCAGGCAATGGGGGAGCAAAGCTCTGCAGCTGTGCTGCGCGCCCGGAGCCACGTTTTCGGGGAAGCAGCCCTGCACCCGGTGTGAGATGCACGAGCCGCGAGTCCCGGGCTGGCAGCTCCCCCCGTCAGTGCCAACCAAGAGAGGCATCCGGGCCAGCGGAATGCTGCCTGCCCAGGCTGCGGCCCACTTGGCCAAAGGCAGGGCCCCTTTCCCCGCAGTCCAGCCCGCCGCGTGCCCTGCCCTGCCCTGCCCGGCCCGGCGTCTCGCCCATCCGTCCCACGGGCGGGTCGCTCCCCCCTACCTCCAGGAAGAAGCGAGGGCTCTCCGGCATGGTGGTGAGGGCGCCGATGGCGAAGACGGAGGGAAAGGCGCACACCAGGACGAAGACGCGCCAGCTGTGGAACTGGTAGGCAGAGCCCATCTGGAAGCTCCATCCTGGCCCACCGGACGGGATGGACGGGACGGGGAGGAGGGAGGCAGGGGAAGAGCAGAAGGAGGCGGTTGGAAGAGGGAAGGGTGGCCCAGGCACGCGAGCGCGGAGGCATGTCCTTCCACCGTCTGCTCTGCCTGCAAGTTTCTAGTCCCTAGGATGGCCATGATAGTGACTGGGTCCAGACAGCATGATGAACCGCACTCAGGGGCTGAGTAGGCAGTGGCTGTGAGTCGTGGTTGGAGTGGGTTGCTGCTGTCGTAGGTTAGGCACAACCTGAGCCACTGCGACCCCAGGGACAACCTTCCCCCAGGCTCTCCTGTGCTCCCCCATCCCCGGAGTCCACCCAAGCCCACACCCAGCCACTTTGGAATGGGTCCTTTCATTGAAAAGTCGGTTGTTGTCGAACGGCAAGTTATGGTGTTGTCCGGACCCAGCCAAGATGGCAGCCGGGGCAAGCAGCACGCACTGCACAACCCAGCCACAAGCCGGGGTTCTCGCAGGCAGTTCACGGCGGGTTGTGCAGCTGGATTCGGACAACACGCGAGCGTGCACTCCAAGCACAATTCATGGCTCACCGACAGCCCCATGACTGAACGGAGGGGCCATCGCGGCCCGACTGGGAGGACGCGCAACGGCCTGCAGGGTTTGCGGGCCCTGCAAATCGCAGAATGGACGGGCGGAAGGAAGCCTGCAGCTGTTGTGCATTTGCTCCTTGCGATAGTGCAGCCTCGCTCCCGGCACAGAATGTGGGCAAGCCCGGGGGGGGGGGGCTGCCCCGGCGTGTCGCCGCTGGAGCTGCCCCGGCCTTACCGTAGTGGGGGATGATTGCCCAGGCCATGGCGGATGCGTAGATGCCCCCGATCATCCAGAACATGCACAGCCAGCTGAGGTGCTCCCCACGCTTCTCCTGGGCCAGGAACTCTGAGTAGTAGGAGAAAACAATGGGGATCGAGCCTCCGATGCTGGAAGGAGGAGACAGGGAGAGAGGGCGGTGAGAAAACGACGGCGGCGGCCCTGGAGTGGCGCCCGGCGAGTCCACGCATGCAGTGCTCCTGGCGGCCCGCGTCGCCTCCGACTGCCCTTGAGGGAGGGGCTGCGCCGCTCACAGTCCGGGCGCTAGACACCAATGCAACGTGCTACTTGGCATCCCTCGGGGGTGGGGGGGGGCTCAGCTGCTCAAAGAGCCATAAGTGAGCTTGCTTGCTTCTGGGGGTCCACGTGTGCCTCGGCCTTCCGCATTGCCCTGCTCCTAGGCGGCCCTCCTGGGGCTCAGCTCCCCAACACACATGCCCACCCCCCGTGCCGCTAAAGGCTTCCTCAGTCCCACCGTGGAACCCAGAACCCGGCACACAGCTGCGAGAGTGGCCCATTTTTCTCCACTTTAAAGCAACCCTCCAGAGTTAAGTCTCTAGTCCTCAGGGTAGCAGAGAAAGTGAAAGCGCGACACTGCTGGGCAGGCGCTTTGTGCGTCAGGTCTGAGAAGCCTGCGAGGGCCTCACCCCATGCCAGAGAGCAGCCGGCAGAAGAGGAACGTGCCGTAACCCTGGACGAAGGACGAGAAGAAGGCGAAGACGCTGTTGACGGAGAGGGACATCAGGAGGCACTGCCTGCGCCCCAGCCGGTCCGCCAGGCTGCCCCACAGGAACGCTCCGACCATCATTCCCAGGTAGACGATGAGGCCTGGAGTGAGACACGGGGACAGCAGGCGCGGTCAGGGGCGCTGTGACCACAGCTCTTCATGCCAGGGAGGCGTCCCTCCCGCGCTCGCCACTGGCCCTGGAATGGCCAGTCTGGGGATGGAACGGTCTATAATGGCCAGGTTGACGCTGTGACTGTCCCCATAGCCGGGCCCCAGGGAACGTCCCCAGGTGTGGGCGACGGTGTGGTCCGGGACGGTGCCGCAGCGCAAGCCGTTCCCACCTCCCTGGGAGCCGGTCCCGGGTCAGGCCGATGGTGCTGAACTGCCCGCTCGAGGCCGTTCCGCCCGCAAGGCTGGCGTCCAGCCCCACGCTGCAGCAGGGAGCAGAGTCCTGCTGCCACAGGGGCTGCAGCTCTGTGCGGAGGCGGCTGCCGTGCCGCGGGGGGGGGGGGGAATGCCAGCGTCCCCATGACTGGAAGCTGCCGGTGCTGCCCCCCTGCAGGCCTCCTTCCACTGTGCCACCTTCACCCCGGGAGGTGAGGGTCCCAGGCTTGGGCTGGGAGCGGTCCCTGTCCAGGGAGGGGGCGAGCCGGGCCAGTGCCCAATGGGGCAGGAGGGACGGGAGGCCCCGGGCTCTGGCCCTGTTCCTTGGAGGAAGACTGCGCAGCTGGGCCCCCCGGCTCCTTGGCCTGTCGCGGCCCAGCCACATGCCCAGGGGGCCCTTCCTGGGCGCGTGCGCCTGGGCCGTTAATCGTTCTGTTGCGGTGTGTGTGTGTGGCGGGCGGAGCAGGGCCCGGGGGACCCAAGCACGGACCCCTCACCACCCCTCCATGTGCAGATGGGGGCACCGGGGCTGGGCCCGGCCTGGCTGAGCCACGCGCACCCGTCCGGGCTCTGGGGAGCAGCGGTGTCTCAGCATGGGGCAGGTGCGGCAGCCGACGCCGGGAGGCAGCCGGACGCCTCGGCCATTTCCACGGCTGCGGCATGGAGCTTGCTCCCCGGGCAGGGTGGGGGCGGCCCCGAGTTTTGCCCTTGCGCAGGCAGCGGGCAGCTCATCCCCCGGCCGAGCGGGTCGCAGTCGTCCTGCGCAGCCCAAGCGGCTCCTCTCAGGGGCTTTAGCGGCTCGCCTGCCTGCCGGCTGAACCCGGGATTAACCCTCCAGAGATCGGGCCAATTACGCCGCCCGCCAGATGTGGAGGCTTTGCTCCCGCTGCCCCGGCATGGAATCGCCCCGCACCACGCCAGCCTCCCTGAAAGGGCAAGCGCTTCGGTGCGTGGTGCCAAAAGGGATTACCGGGCTTTCTCCTCTGCACCGGGGCGGGCCGCTCGGCCGCTCTCGGCCGCACTGCGGCACGGTGCAGCCGGTCTCCTTCCTTGGCCGGGTCGCTTTGGAAAGCTCGGCTCTTGCGAACGCTGGGGCTTTTCAGGCCACCGATGTGCCGAATGCAGTGGCGGGCACAGTTCTCACGGGCGAGGAGAGATTATTGGCAGGCCTGTGGTTCTGTGCAAGCCTGGTGTGCACGGGGCAGGGCAGGGCAGTGGCCCAGCGTTGCACTAGTGGCAGCCCTCACGCAGCGGGCCTGCTGGAGAAGCGTGCCGTTGCAGCGAGCGCCCCTCTCCCGTGGCTCAGAACGCAGGCCCCGTGGGACCCGTTCGCCGTGCTTCTCCTGGCATGCACCGCTGGCCTTCCAAGGGCTTGGCAACCTGCTTCCTCAACCAGGCGCCCTCTGGGATGCATTGTACTACAGTTCCCATCCAACACCGCCTGCCAGCTCCACCCAGGCACTGCCAGGCTTCCTTGATCATGCCGACCACGGATAATGGGAGTTTCGGACCAAAGCGTCCTTGTTTGAAGGCAGGCAGGCCAGCTGGCGTTTGCAGCGCAAACCGGACCTGGCAGGGCCTGGACCGAAATGCAGGCACACCAGCAGACAGCGAAGCAGATCCCCTTCGCTGGAGAGCCAGAAGTGTCCAGACTGTCTTGGGGGGGGGGCAGTTATCTGACCCGAAAGTGCCCCCGAGTCGGCCTTCCGTGATGGAGGGCGAGGCCACGCGTGAAAGCGAGATGCTGAGCAGCGGTTCTGGTCACACGGTGCCACATCTGCTCCGGAACATGGCAAAGGGCAGGAGCAGCACAGCGCCAAAACCTGCGAGCCCCCCGTGGGGGCTGCCCCTGGGCGGGGGGAGGCCGGCGGAAGGCAGGAGCAGAGCCGGCAGGCAGAGCAGGCCTATTTTTATCCCGCCCTCCGCTCAGACGCTGACAGCAGTCACAGGACCGGTGCGTGGAGTGGCGGACGGGGACCAGCGGCTGGGGAGAGGGGCCGCGGCGGGAGGCAGAGCGAGGCGGGAGAGCAGCGCTTCCGCGGAGCTGCCCCAGGCGCAGCGCTGCTTCGATCAGCCGCACTGACATGCCTCTCAAAGCCCTGCCAAGGCACAGGCCCCCTTGATGCCCGTGGGGGCCTCTCGCCAAGAGCCGGCCAGTCTGAGAGCGCCCCCCTGGCCCCAGGTCTGTGCTTGAGCTCGGGAGGGAAGCAAGATGGGGAGAGATGGAGGACCAGGGTCTTCCGAGCCCTGCAGAGCATCTTTCAGGTGACCAGGGTCACCTGTGCATTTTGGGGGTGCGGCGCCCCTGACAAGGACATCCTGCCTGGCACCTGGGGGCTGTGAAAAACAGCTCGCCTTCCCCTCAGCGGCGGCAGCATGGCGCTGGATGGACCAAGGCGAGGAGGACTGGCGGCCTGGAGGGCCGAGAAGCAAAGAGGCGGGCACACAGCCTGCTTGGGGGTCGCTGTTTCCAAGCAGTGCCAGCAGAGAGCCCTCCACAGGACCTGTCTCCAGGCGAATCCTGCAGCAGGAACCACGGTGCAGGGCCCACCTGGAAGCACCGCTCCGTGGGGATGCTCGGCCTGAGAAACCGCTTGCTTAAAACTGGGAGGTCTGCAGGGCAGCCTGACTGCAAGGCCCCATGGGGGAGGGGGGATGTAAATACTCTGCGCATGGGCAGAGGCCGTGTTTGCTGTTCCTGGAAGCCAGGCTGCTCCAGGGCACTCGAAACACACCCGGGAGAGCTCAGCCCCACAACCCAGCCTGCCCCTCTTTGCCTGGGGACCCGGGAGTAGGTCTCTGGGCAGAGAAGCGGACATCCAGGCGGCGGGGAGTGCGGGGACAGCTTTGGTGCAGACGGACGGCAGCTTTGCCGCACTGCGGTGTGTGCGGAAACCCGGCACCAAGTTTGGCTGAAATGCCAGCGTTCTCCCCGGCACAGACAGTCCGCCCCCGCATGCCCCCTCCTTCTCCCACCCCCACAAAAGACGCGTCCTCTCCTCCCCTCCCCTCGCCACCCTGCCACGCTGCCTTTCATGGGGATTTAATTCTGCCTAAGCTCTTTCGCCACAGCCGCCAGGCCTCAGCAGTGCTTCCATGGAGCGGAGAGATAAGCTCGGGGCCACTGTGATTCTGACACATTATTCCTAAATTGCAGGGTGGGGAGGAGAGCGGGGAGGATGAGTCACCACAGCGCCGGTCCCCGTGTCCCTGAGCCTCCAACAGGGCAGAAAAGCTCCTGCATCAGCCATCCGGGAGGTGGGCGGTAGAGATAAAAAGCTGCCGTTTGTGCATGCGTGCATGCGTGTGTTTATATATGTGTGCGCGCATGAGAGTGCGCGAGCGAGAGAGCGCCTCTGAGCATGCCACAGCATCCTTCTGCAGCTGCATTCCAGACCGGCGCAGAACGAAAGCCCAGCAAGTCCCCACTGTTGCTGACCCCGTCGAGCCACGAGGCGCTCTGCGGCGTGGGTGGGAGCCAGCAGCACCCCGGTCTTGCCCCCCAGCGGCTCGCACTGAGAGGCCCCTGGCTCTGAGCCCAGAGTGAGCCAGAATCCGTCCTGATGGCCGCCTTCTCCACAGATCTGCCCGGACCCTTTCAGAGCCAACAGAGAGCTAATTCTGCAGGGGGAGGTGGCGCAGTCCCGGAACAGTCCAGTGCATTGAACGGCTGCATCCCACCCAAAACCCGGCCCTCTCTTCCTTTGCTGATGCATGAGAGGCAAATAGCCGGGCCTTCATCCTCCCAGAGAAAGGGAAGGGATGAGGAATCTCAGGTGAGGAATCTTGGGAGTGAAGCCTACAGGTAACAGAGCCCGCGCATGACAATCTTACCAGTAAGAGCATAGCTCAGCACAGACACGGTGAAATCCCTGAATGTCGATAGCTAGCACATCAAGGAGAAGGCTCCCTCATACACTAGCTCTCCACATGCGGGGAGTCATTTCATGATGCATCGCCTGGAGGAGCATCCAGTTCTGTGAATCCAATCTGCAGTCTGAAGTACTACCATCCAGAGACAAGCTTATGATCTACTGCGCGTGAGCACAGCTCTTCCTTTATAGAAAGGGGACACATACACAAGTTACACACTGAGATACCTCACACATTATATTCTTCTCCTCTGAGAACTGGGAGCAGCTGTGGCTTTGTAGGGTACGCCTTGCCACAGGTGGCTCAGCCCAGGGCCACCTTGCCCTCCCCACACAGGGCAAGGTCAAAACTCACACACCAGTGCAGGTGAGCACAGAGAGTGTCTGGATATTTATGGTACAGTCACCAAGGTTACCACCTGCCCAAACCTACGAACATGCTATTAGCACTGCCGAAGAATGAGCTGATTCCCGAGCGCTTGGCCCTGCAGGCTTTCCCCACCCCACATAATCTCATTCCATCGCACGTCCCCAAGTCTGGTTTGGCACTGGCTTTCCTTCTCACCAGCCACTCCATAATGCTCCACATTTATCACCAGGAATTCCAGCACCCTTCCCCAAATTATATTTTCTACTCCTGATTGAACTGTAAGATTGAAACAGGGCTGAAAGCTGGCTCCATATCAGGTCAGGGCAGGAGCTCCTCTGGAGAAAAAGAAACGGACTCCCCAGTGCCTCCTCAGAACCCCCTTGGCAAGGGGGTCTGGTGCCGCCTGGGCCGGGTCCCCCACCTCCCCTCAACCCCCTTGTGAATGGCCGGAACTGCCAAGGCCCCACTGGGAGCCATGGGAACCGAAGCTGCGCACCTGTGGCCCCTGCCCTCGCTGGCCCACACCCCTCCTTGCCCCCGTGCCTGCACCTCAATAGAGCAGATCCGGACAACCCCCCGCCCTCGCTCTGCCTTCTCGGGGAACGGTAGAATCCTAGAGTTGGAAGGGGCCACGAAGGCCGCCGAGTCCACCCCCCCGCTGCAAGTTGGACCATCCCGGCACTTACCCAGCATGCCCTTGTTGGAGTCGGACAAGCACATGTCCTTCTCGGCGCTGGGCAGGACGAAGCCCACCACAAAGATCTCCACCCCGTCGGCCATGAGGGCCAGTCCGAGCACGAAGTACAGTGTCCACTGGAACCGCCCGTGCCCACACTCCTGCAGGATCAGCTCGTACTGCTGGGCCAGCTCCTCCTTCTCCTTCCGCCTCTCCCCGTCCAGGTCGCTGAAGTCCCTGAACTCGCTCACGGCCTCCTGGCTGGCCGTGACGCGGTCCCCACCTTTGAGGGAGTCGTTCCGGGGGATGCCCTGGTACTCGCCCTCGTAGATCTCGTCGTCTTCGTCGTGGCCCTCCGTGGCATCGCTGGAGGCTCCCTCGTCGTCGGCCGAGGGCTCCCCGCGGTAGTAGCCATCTTGGGGCTGGTAGTCATCCTCGTCGTCGTCCTCCTCAAAGCGGGCGTAGGAGCGCTTGGTGTACTCGTCTTGAACCCGGTCCACCCCCTTGCCGACTTTCTTAGCCGCGTGCCTTTTCACTTCCTTTGCAATGTCTTTGGCTCCACGGATGAAGGCGGTCCGGTCTCTGAAGCCTTCATCCATCGCTGCTGCCCGGCTCACGACACCGTCAGACGGGACTGCAGGCTTCAGCACTGGGGAGGGTGGACAGCTCCTCCTGCGGGAGAGGCCTGGTGCCAGGGACCGCTTCCTCGAGCTGCCCACCTAGGCTGCGGCCTTCCAGGAGGCAGCGGAAGACCGAGACAGACCACTCCGGAAGGGTGGTGAGCCACAACCCATCCGCTTTAGTCCAAGCTTGTGCCTGAGGGTCTGAGGACCGGCCGGCGAAGGAAGCTGCTCCGTTCCCTGCAGGGCCCTGTAAGGACAGCAGAAGAAAACCAGAAAGAGCTCAGACCTCAATAAAGGCTGGGAATGCCTCACAGGTCATAGACAGAGGAACCTGGAAATTCTAGGCCTATCCAGCAATTTAGCAAGGTGGAAGGAGGGTATTTTTAGGGAATCTGGGCCCAAGATTTTAGGGGTCTCTTGCAGGAAAAGGCTTCTCCAGAAAGCGCAGGATGCGGCATTCGTCCGCTGTTCCATGAAGCCCTAAATACAGTCCTGGCTTAATTGGCAGCCGCCTTTTTATTCCTGAGGACACCTGACAGCGGCCACAGAAGGGCCAGCTGCCAGCCCCCCCCCCCCCCCCCCCCCCCCCCCCCCCCCCCCCCCCC